GTATCTCATTGTAGTTTTGATTTGCATTTCCCTAATTACATGATGTTGAACATTTTTTCATATGCCTGTTGGCCATTTGCATTTCCTCTGGAGAAACTTCTTTTTAGCTTAAAAGAGAAAATTTAAAGAGATTATTGAGAGCCAAACTGAGGACGCATACCCAGATGGCCAATCCAGCTTTCTCTGATCACCACCCCAACCCTCCACCTCAAATCTTTTAACCGTAGTTTACATTGGGAAGTTACATGCACAGAAATAATAAAATTGGTTTTTTCTTACCAAAGAATAAAGACATCTAGTTAATTTTAAATATGTTCAGTTAACTATCAGAGATTGGTTTCCAGCAAATAGTTAACTGATAAAGGAGAAACACTGTTCATAACTTCAAAGAAATTCCTTGATCTTACAGAGCTAATTCAGACAGACCTATTTATGTTGAGGAAGATGTAGGGACAGATTATTTAACTCATTTATCCTAAAAGTACCTCTTTAGATTTGAGGACAGAATCAGGCTGTTAGCTCCTCTTCCTCTTCCTGCAAACAAGGCAGAGGCTTGGTCCTGGAACTTTTGGATCGTTTCTTTGTCTCTCAACACAGGGCTCTTCACAGGTAAGTAGAGCCATTGTTCTGCTGACTCTGGCCTCTCAAGGGGACCCTGACAGGACACAGCTAGACATTTATCCATGAGCAAAATATAGAACTTTCTTTTTTGACCCAAAAACAAGACAAAATTTAAGCCACCCTCTAGCTCTAATATGCCATGATTTTCTACTGCCTTTATAAATCTTTGCAGTTGAGTCAACTACTTTGCTTTGAATGCTAGCTGTGTACTAGGCACTTAGTTAATGGCTTCCTAGGAATGCTTTAGGAACAATTTCTTGGACTCCAGAGATCACGTGACTGCTTGGAAGCTAGAAGAATTGAAATCAAACTGAACTACTTAATGCAGAAAAGAAAATAGACACTGCAGAGGGTGTCTGAAAGGAATAAAGCTACCTGTAATTTAAAGTCCTTGGTCTTTGAATTGCAGTTAGGTGATGGACCTTGCAATTCAGAATATTTCCAACCAGCTGAACAGCTCATTGAATTAAAGCTGGCAGCCCTCATAACCTTAACTTTATAAGTTTTCTAACTTTCATTTCCACAAATACTTAATGCAAATACATCAGCAATCTAAGCACATATCCAGAAGCTAACTCTTAGTTGTTCAACTTTGTAGAAGAACAATTAGTATTAAGAATCTCATCAAAAACTTTTTTTTCCATAAGTCCTTTCTGTCTATCTTGTGTTCAGTTAATGAGGCTGCTTTACCGGAGCACAGCAGAGAGGACCTGTAAGAATGTGTAGCTAACCAAGGACTGACTGTAATTAAGGTAACATTTGCCATATATTTTCTCAGAGCTAGAAATTCAAACCTGAGAGGTTCCTTCTATAGTTAGTCACAGATAGATATACACATTATGCATTTCCATGTATGTTATATATACATATATACATAATATAAATGTATAATATATACCCGATAACAGTGTTGTCAGGCTTGAGGTTTTTTGAAATAAGCACATTTATAACTGATTTGTTATGTGCAAACACATAAATTCTCCCTTCCTTGTTTCATGTTTTCCTTTAGTAACCATTGACTGAGTCACGTGTCAGACATATTAAAAAGGACAAAATTAACGTAAAAATTCACCCAATAATATACCCTATTGAAATATAATCTTTCAGATTCAATAACAAAAGTAGATACACACACACACATAGTGTACATATGTGTCTGTGTGCATGTAATTTACTTATACTTGTTAAAAAAGAGTATTTGAGGGCCTCCCCTGGTGGCGCAGCAGTTGAGCGCTGGGCTGAGAAGCTGCCCACAGCCTCTGCAGCGCCGTTTCGATCCCCGGCCACTGGCAAGGGTCCCACATGGTGCGCAGACCTCTTCTGCTGTGCTCGCTGCTCCCCTCAGTGTATTTCATTAGTCTGCCTGTTCTGTTCCCTGCTCTGGCTCTGGTGAATTCTCTCACCCTCCCGCGCTTCTGACTGTACCCAGTGCTTGTATAAATAAATAAATCTTTAAAAAAAAAAAAGGGTATTTGAACCTAGAGGTAAATAATCAAAAGAAAATTGGGTTGGTGTCAGCTCATGTGTGTGTTTGTGAGTCTGAGTAAAGAAGATTAGGAAGGAAAGAAGAGAGAGGAGAAAAGGAAGAGGGGGGAAGTAGTCATCAGTCTTACAGGCAATCACCACAGTTAGTGAATTTTACCTTAACTCCCACTACCCCATCTATATTTTCTGTATTGAACTGTGGCCAGCGGTCCATTGTTTATTCCATTAATTGATACAGCATTGAAATTAAATTGACTTCTCACCCAAATCAAACAAAATGAAAAATAGTAACTTCAGTTTTTAAAAGTATAAAGTATCCATAGATCTTAAAAGTGATATTTATGTACTTCAGCAACTGTGATAAAGAAAACTTGCTGAATGTCCTTCCAAAGTCTAAAAAATAAAATCTCAGGGATTTTTTTTCCCCTTTACTGGCCAGAAACTCATTCCAAGTACCAGCCTGTCTCATTTCAAAATGTTTCCCTTGCCAAGGAAGCGGAAGTGGTCATATTCTTTCCCACCAAACTATGGGTGAATTATAATTATCCTACCTCTTGTGGGACAATGAAGCAGCAAACATCTGCTATACTGAATCCAAAAACCCATGAATGAAACTATACCAAAATGTGAATCATACCTGGACTCAGATTAAAGGATTTATGTAGTGTTTACCTTTTACTTTATATTCTTTGTAATTCAAAATATGGGCTTGTTATCTCTGGCTCCATATTTTAACTGAAGGGAAATAATATGGATTATTCATTGACTCCTATTTTAGCATTAAAAAAATGCCTATTTTATGGTAGATGAACAATAATAGTTTATAACAGCTTTTCTATTTGATTGATTATCTCCTCTCAATTTCCTACAGGTAAGAAAATTTAGAAATGCACAATTTAAGACATGAGATCTTTTAGTTTTTCTTTCACTATAATGACAACAGAGTGGGAAATGGTGCTTTAAGCTTTATTTCCAAAAGAAACAGGCTTTTCCATAATAATTAAAACAGTTTGGTACTGGAACAAAAACAGACACACAGACCAATGGAACCAAATAGAGAGCCCAGAAATAAAACCACACTTATATGGACAACTGATCTTTGACAATGGAGCAAAGGATATGCGATGCAACATGGACAGTTTGTTCAAGAAATGGTGCTGGGAAAACTGGACCACCACATGCAAAAAAATGAAACTAGACCACTACCTTTCACCATGCACAAAAATCAACTCAAAATGAATAAAAGAACTGGACATAAGACCTGAAACCATAAAATATATATAAGAAAAATAGGTAAAACACTATAAGAGATACATCACAATAACATCTTTAAAGACTCATAACCCAAAGCAGTGATAGTGAAGGCAAAGATAAACAGCTGGGATTACATCAAACTGAAAAGCTTCTGCACAGCAAAGGAAGCATTAACCCAAACAGAGAAACACCCCACTGATTGGGAAAAAAATCTTTGCACACCAGTCAACTGATAAGGGACTGATCACAAAGATATACAAAGAACTCACATGACTCAACAAAAACAAAATAAGCAATCCAGTCAAGAAATGGGCAGAAGAACTTAAAAGACATTTCTCCAAAGAGGAAATGCAAATGGCCAACAGGCATATGAAAAAGTGTTCAACATCCCTTATAATCAGGGAAATTCATATTAAAACCACGTTGAGATACCACCTTATACCAGAAAGAATAGCACATATTAAAAAAACAATCAACATCAAATGTTGGCGTGGATGTGGTGAAAAAGGAACTCTTCTACATTGCTGGTGGGAGTGCAAACTGGTCTAACCACTATGGAAAGCTGTCTGGAGGTTCCTAAAAATGGAGCTACCATACGACCCAGCAATTCTTCTAGGGATCTACTCAAAGGACACAAAAACATTGATTCAATAGAACACCTGTACACCTATGTTTATTGCAGCACTATTTCCAGTAGGTAAAACCTGGAAACAACCCAAATGCCCAAAAATAGATGACTGGATCAAGAAGATGTGGCACATATACACAATGGAATATTATTCAGCAATCAAAAAAGATAAACTCATGCCATTTGCAGCAACATGGATGGAGCTAGAAGAAAATAAGCCAGAAGGAAAAAGAAAAATATCAGATGGTTTCACTTATAGCAGGATTATAAGGGAACCAAATAAGATATCAGTGTAAAAAAATAATAACAGTATAAAACACAACAAACCAAATATAGACAATTGTAAATCAGAGACATAATGCAGGGGAGGAGGAGGGAGAGAAGGAGGGAGGAGGAGTTCCCTTAGGGGACTGAGGTGATGGTGCGTTGGTGAAGTAAACTCTATGGGGACTACATCTGAGGGGGTGGGGGAAGCAAATATTGTTTAAAAATGAACAATGATGTAAAAAATAAAAAAAAATTAATATAAAAAAAGAAACAGGCTTTTACCCTTCTGTTTGCCTCTAATAATTTTGTATATCATGGGTATTTATTGTAGTACCAAACTGTTCACCTAAAGTAAGGTAAGGGGCCTCCCCTCGTGGCATAGGCTGTTGACCGCCACCCTGTGAAGCTGTCCGCAGACTCTGCAGCACTGGTTTGATCCTGGCCTGCCGGCGAGGGTCCCACATGGTGCGGCAGACCTCTCCTGTTGCACCTGCTGCTACCCTCAGCAGTGTATTTCATCCATCTGCCTGTTCTGCTCCCCACTCTGTCTCTGGTGAATTCTCTCACCCTCCCGTGCATCTGGCCTATACCCTGGTTCTTGTATAAATAAATAAATAAATCTTTTTAAAAAATAAATAAAGTAAGGTAAGGAGAACAGAATTTTAATTTTAAGTTCTAGCTGTGAAACCTGTATAACATTACTTGCTTTTAAAATTTTTTGTGTCTTTTTGCTTTTATATATTAGAGAGCAGAAAGACAAACTCGAATTATGGATTCAACTCAATATGCAGAATTCTGTGAAAGTCGACAATTAAGTTTCTGTAAGTGATCATTTAACTTTTCATTAGGTTTAAGAGATTACTGTTACATGTATACTAAATTATGACATGATCTCTTTTCATTAAAAATTGGTATTTTAACACATATATAAACACTGTTACAGAAATTATGTCTACATAGCATAAAACCCTATATAAGATTTTACCCCACTCTACTGTCTTGCAATTAAAAGTATTAAGAGTTTTTAAAAGGTGATAGTAATATACAGCGAGCCATGTTAATGATTCACATTACTTTGAGTCAGAAAAACTGCATTTTTCTTAGTTGTCCCATCTTAATTTATTTTCTAGTTTCTTAGTCATATTATGCTAGTATTGCTGATTGATCTTGACCTGTAATGGGTTCTAAGAGTACAGTCATGACATTTGAAAGTGTCTAATATTAACAAATACCACACTTTCTATTTTGTTATGCATACTCCTGTTGTCACAAAAGAACATATCAATAGTCTCTTCCATTTTTGTCTGTAACATCCTGCTGTGCCTGCATTCAATATTAGCTGTATTTAGAACTTTATGCTCTTGTAGCACTAATAACCTAGTGGTAAAATTAGTAGTGTTCCACCACAGTACACAGGCTTACTGAAAGTACATAATGGCTCGTGATAAGTAGTGGGCTAGATCTTGTAGCAAAACATCTTTACAGCAACAGTTCAGCGATGACTAAGCCACCAGGGGTAAAGGTCAAAGAGTAAATGTGACGAAATGTTCAGTTAAAAATATGACAAAGTAGCACATGACCCTGGTCTGAGGGATTATAGATACAATGGCATCTTTAAACAAAAAGCTATTATGTGGTCACAAGAGCAGCATATTTGATTGGGTGGTGGGGGAGATGAGAGCTTCATTTATAGATCATGAAGTGCAAATAAATGACACATTTCAAATAGTGCCCCATGTAAATGTCAGTAAAATATAGGAAAACATGTTTTGGAAGATTTTTTTTTCCAAACTAAATATACTTTGCAGTCTGACTAACAATTTGGCATTATACATCTGTGAAGCATTAAGTAAATGACACTTCAGATCATGGCAATTTAAGCAAATGAGAGGTTTTTGTATTGTAATTTTTAGGTTTAAAAATGGCATTCAAGTATAAATCTTGAGTTTATAAAGTAACATTTAGTGTTATTGAACTATTTTTTAAATCATATTTTAAATTTAATTTGCTTAAAGGAGCAATAGTGCTGTTTCAGACTGAAACATGTAGTCCTTGAAGTGCTTTAATTAACCTTTTGTTTCAAAATCCAATTTTTAATAACTTTTGATTTTTTCTTTTTAACTTAATAAACTGTAATCAATTAAAAAGCTAGTACTTTTATGTATGTAGTCATAGTATAAATAGTGCATTATGCTTCATCTTTTTCTTTGAAAAGGAAGGATTTGGGACCTTTAAAAACACTTCTTTCTGTGGTACTTATAGGTGCTTCATTATGAAATCTTATTGAGAGAATCTGTTTTATATTCTAAAAATACTGTGGTTGGGAATGCTTAGTCCAAGTGGGTTAATAAATTCAAAACTGATTCCCACACTGGTCAAAGCGTTAGGTGCTTTTCATTCCTCTCCTTCTAATAAATTACTGGGACATAAGAATTATGATCCTGTCATACGTGTCTTCTTAAATATATGATCATAGTATTCACTAATTGGAACTATAGTTGCATTTTTAAATAAATTTATAAACTGTGAGAATAAGTTGCAAAATCAGTACACTGATCAAATTCACCAAATTTTTGTTACTATATTTATATAAGCCAGATAATTTATATGAGATCATTTCTCTTAAAGTCTTTTAAAGTTTGGTATTAATTCACAAAGTTTTAATTTATTAAATCTCTTTCCAATCCTTTCAACCTTTTGTTATATATGGGTTTTTTGCAAACAAATGCCTAGATTTTCTTTTTTTTGATCAGTCAGGGTTTCAGTGTACCTTAATTTAAATAAATAAATATAATTACTTTTACATTTGGGGTTATATATGCTGTCTTATTTAGTATTTTAAATTTACTGGTTTTGTTTTATTTTTCCCTGCCTTTTCTTTTTGAATTGACTGAATCTTCTTATTCCACTTTTCCTCAGCCAATTTGTATACATGTCATATATTCTAGTTCAATTATTTTAGCTGCTATCATTCATTTTTTTAAATGTACATTCTTAATTTTTTTAAGTTGATAAACATTTAAACATTCCTTTTGGCCTAGTTTTGTTTTTCCAAAACTCTGTAAGTGCTTAAAGCATTTATTTTGGGGGTTAGGAAATGGCTTTATTTTACCCTCATACTTAAATGATAGCAGAGTGGGAAATTGTAGACTGATAGTTGCTGGCCTAATGTGATTCCATTGTCTTTTTGCCTCTGTTGTTGGTATGAAGTCTGCTGTCAGTCTGCTTGTTCTGTTTCCCATGGGAGAAACTAACAGAATGAAGATTGGTTCTTCAGATCCTCTGGTATATTGGAAAATGAACAGACTGACAAGCATGTACAGAAGGAAAAAAAGACAGAATCTGTACCATAAAAGTTTCCAGGCAAAAACCAAGCCCTCTGAGAAAGGTTATTTTCAACTAAACCTAAGAACAGTGATTATATTGAAGAGATTAAAGTTGTAGGTGAATTTCTTCAGAGTGAAATGAGCATTACTGAAGGCCTTGAGGAAAGAATTAGGGATAGAAAGAATGATGAGAATGGATGAGTTTAAAATAATGAAATGCTATGTAGAGAATAGAATCTTGAGACATACTTGAATTTTGCTAACGATCATTGGTAAAGATTCAAAGTGCATGAGAATTAACTAATATTCAATTTCCATATGAAATTACCACGTAAATATGTTATAATTCTAGTATCAGCTGAAAGAACCAATTATGTAAGGAAGCTGATAATCCTAGGAACTTTTGACTATTGTTCAGAATTCTATTTAAATTGTTGATCCATTGCTGGGATTATCCTTTTTCCTGTTTTATTGAGAAGAGGGGTAAAGAAAGAACTCATTCATTCTGGTACCCCCTCTTTTCTTGATGGAAACTAGCTCCACAATACCCTGGGAGGGTCTTTCTCTTAGCAACCTTTCTCCAGATGATAGGGAGGGAATTAGCCAGAGAATTTCATGTGTTTTTGGAATAGTAATAACATGAGAGGTTTTGTGGCCCATTTGTACATCTTTTTTGATACATAGAAAAACTTGGACTTCATCCTTTTATTCAAAAGTCTTTCATTCATTTGTTCCATTTAGCCATTCTTTCATTTCTTTTAGAAATATTGTGAGTCTACCAGTGCCAGGCACTGTTTTCAGTCCTGGGGATACACTGGTGGGCCTGTGGCCCCTTCCCTGCTTTCTCAGTTTTTACAATTTAGTAAGGAAGCTGCTAATTTTGTTGCTTAGGTGAATGGAGATGAGGGGATACTAAGAACTATCTTTCTCCCTTCCCCCTCCCCACTTTAAAAATAAATTGTTTAGAGCTTAGTCACAAAATATCTCTTTCTGTGTTCCTAGCAGTCTGTCAAAGGGAGAAGTGAATAAGGCACATTTTATTGATCTTGCCAAATTTCTGTCTGTTGACTTTTACTTCAGAAGTATTCCACAGATGTTAAACAAGTGTTTGTGAGCTATTGCAGCTTACTAGCTAGATGGAATGTTGCATGTCAGAGAGTATTTGGAAGATCGGTTACTTTAGGGAGATAGCTTTAAGGGGGATTATCATAATTCTGCCACAGTTGACAGCTTTGGATATGCCCTATGATAGCAGGACTTAATGTCTGCTGTGATTTATTTAAAAGAAAACTCTTCTGTACATGGAACCCATGAAGATTGTATCTATACGGATCAAAAAATCATACTTTTGAGTTACTGTTACATGTTTTATAGACTTATGGGACCAGATTAATCAAAAGAATAATCAGTGAATATTTTAAAGATTATTATGTTATAGAAATGATAAAATCTTCACTATATCAATCTTTTCCCATTAGGTTACTAGTTAAATTAGTAATATCTAATGGAACCCTTTATCTGTTTAGCTCTGTGACAGTTTAGTGATATTTAATGGGTAATTCCATGTGTGTTTGGCACTGCTTGGGTATGCAGAAAAACATGCATGGTATTCACATACAAATAATTTATAATATAATTTGAGAAATTATAAGCAGGCATGAAAAGAGATTGATGGTATAAAAGTTGAATGAAAGACGAGAGTGTGGAGATACACATTTGACTTTATTAGACAGGATTCATAAGAATGAAGAAACTTGATGGGAGGGCTTTCCATGGATGGAAAGGAGCGGGGCTGAACACAGAGAGGAATATAGTTAAGGCCAGGTGACATTTTAATAGGGGAATAATACAAAGGCAGGCTGCAATCAGTCCGAATAATTTTAAGAGTCAGGCTTAAGAATTAGAATGCCTTTGTAATCAGGAAAATGTAACCACAGACTTAGATCAAGCCAGGCATCAGTTCATTTTATTTATTTTTAGCTTAATGACCTTTGAACAGATCCTGGTTAATAGGCACATTTGGAAAGATGTTAAAATGCAATTTCTATATGTTCCTTTTGCTCATCACAGATTCCTTCTTTTAGAATTTTCTTCTTACAAGAATAAATCCAATGTAACTTGTAATATAAGCTATAGCAATGATAATCTGACACAGTGTGAGAAATGCTCAACATTCATTGATTTTAGTACACTATGGTGTGTAGCATACATATAAGTAAAGGATATAAATGCATTAAGGATTTCTCAGGGCTAAAAAATCTAGACGTGAATCAGACTTCAAAAACGTATTTTTCACATGCAGCTTAAAAAAATTCATTTTGTGATTATGTGCAGTATAAAAAGACTTCAAAAATTAAATTTTCTCTACTTCTTTTTTAATGGCTAGCAAAAAAAGCCTCCAAATTTCGAGACTGGTTGGACTGCAGCAGTATGGAGATCAAACCCAATGTCATCGCTATGGAAATTTTAGCATATTTAGCATATGAAACTGTAGCACAGGTAAGAATTCTAATCTGTCATATCAGGCCAGACATACATGACTTATCGCCTTTATCTTTGTGCAATATCAGTTCTTGTTCTACTAGCAATGAGACAGCCATGAATTTTCCCAATGACCATCTTACCATTGTCTGAAATTTAATTTGGTCATGTTTCTGTGTATCCTCATCCCTGGCGGGTGTTAAGGTAAAAGTGAATTTTTTTTTTTTTTTTTTTTTTTGCTTTATTCCAACCAGAAATGGAATCCCTGCCTACCTTTTCTCAACATTGAATTCTAAGTACCATCTACCTTGTTTATATACCTTTCTAGATATGTACCACCTGTGGAGTCCTTACCAAAATCTGATTCTGGAATCACTGCCCTCTAACAGTTTCTCAAAGTGTGGTACTTAGACCACAAGCATCAACATGTCCTTTGTTCTTGTTTAAAATGTAAATTCCTAGGCTTCACTCCAGAACAGACCTACTGAATTAGCAGCTTGGGACTTAGAGCACAGAAATCTGTATTTAAGATTGCTATCATGGTGATTATAAAATAAAACTTGACAACTACTTTTGTAGAAGTCAGAATATAACACTTAATGTTATTCTTGGGTAGATCCATTTACCGGTCAATTAAATTATACTCTCACATCCACAGTACAGATTTTTAAGCAGACAGTATTATCAGTAGTGTTTGGAATATATTGCTCGTAGTTTTGCCACTTCAGTGACATTCAGGATTATTTCCAGCTATGTGACTTTATTTCCATGGCTCTGATCTTTTAGTTGGTGGATCTGGCTCTTCTTGTGAAGCAGGACATGGTAACCAAAGCAGGAGACCCCTTCAGTCATGCCATTTCTGCAACCTTCATTCAGTATCACAACTCTGCTGAGGTAAGTAACAAAATCTTTGACAATTCTGTCTTGTTTGGTGTTTACCTGGTAGTTCTTTTGAAAAGGTTATATAGATGTATGTATCCTTTTGTCAAAGAATCTTAATACATTGAACTTCAAAAAGTATTTGTTGAGCACCTACTATGGGCCACGTCCTAACAATCCAGTAAATACAATGATTATTCAACTTTTCCTTGCTTTATGTTGTTTTCCTTGCCCATCAGGGACAGAAGTATGGTTGTAGAGCACTTCTCATTTCCATGGGGGATGAACAACTGGTTTTGGTAATTGAATAACATTGAGAAAAGTTATTTCTTTGTGCCTCAAAGATAAGAGGATTAGTATTATTGATGTAATAACTCCTCATATTTCTAATAAACTCCATTTATCCTCAGTGTTTAATTTGGCCCATTTATATATGTGAAGATCTCATCCTTCTCTGATCCAGACTCTGTTGCTGGGATCCCCTCTATGGATACTATAAAGTCTACTTGTCAATTGTAAAGGCTTGATGTAGTAATTGTGTACCACTTTTAGCATTTAAACAAATATTCTCTATAAGCAGAATGTGCCTAAAAGCTGGAAATGTATTATCTATTGAATGAATTTGCTACTATTTAAACTTTATTACTTTTATAAGCAACAAGTTCATATAATCCAACTGAATAACCATAGAAAAGGCAGCCAAGGAGGTTAGGTTGATATCTACATGTATAGTTACAAAGTGAGCTTTAGATCAAGTTGGGTGAAATATATAACCTGAAAATGCTAAGACCTGTCTTACTTCTATTCCTTAATTATATATATCTACTTCCTGTTCGTATCTGTAGGTCAAAATGGTGGCGCATATAATTTCTAAAAATTAGTTGTAATCATTTTTAGGTACGTTTTTAGACCCCTTTGAAAATCTGATGAAAACTATAAATCCTTTCTCTAGAAATACAGACCCTCTGAAATCATTCTGTGGATCTAAGGGATGGATCTGTGAACCCTATGGTTTAAGTAGCTCTGCCCTGGGATACTTAGAAAATATTCAAACATACATGCTTATATAGAATCTTATTACAAGTTTAAAAAAGTTTGACATCTTTTTATGCCCCTGGAAGAATCAGATTGACTTAGAATACAAGTAGGAATTAAAATGTTTACACCCATAAAAAATCCTTCTTTTTATATTTTGGGAAAAGATCATATATCATTATCAGTCAGCCTGCTTTAAAAGACTGTGAAACTTACCCATTTGATTAAACATTTTTTGTTTCCTTTATGTTCTAACCCAAATTGTGATGTCAAAGAATACCTTTTTAAGATGCCATTGGTACATGTTCACTTTATGAATATGTGTGTAAGTATGCTTTTCATTAACATCAGACAAATTTGTTATAACATTTCTAATTGAAGAAATTTACAGAGAACATAACAAGTCTAGTTTTCCCTTAACATCCAAGAGATTGCTTGCATGGCGGGGAATACTCTTTATTCCTGCCTTACTGGCATTCTCCAGGGTGGCCAAACGGCCCTGGGCAACTGCTCAACAACCACAGCAGCTGTTCCCAGCTACCCAGCAGTTAAGAAAAATGGCCTATGTGTGCTGGATTTCCTGGGCTCTCTGGGAGGTGGGAGCAGGAGTATCAGAAAGCATCCTGACTAAATCTGTTAGTATGCGCCTCAAGCTTCTCCCTGGTCTGGCATAATCCCCTCCTTCTATGTGACTGGTAGTCAGGGTGAACATTCACAGAGAATAGAAGTCTCCCTACCCTTTAATATCTGAAAAAAAAACACAAAGAAAATGACCACTCTAAAGTGGGAGTCTTACTCATTGACATTACAAATCATCAACCACTATCAAGGGTTTTCTTGAAGGACTATACCAAAATTGGTACAGAGGGGGACTTTGGAGACTGATGTGATCTGTGTTCAAGGGGACAGGACATCCATCAAACAAATAAGGAAATATATGAACATGCAAACAAGCAATTCAAGACAGGGTATACTGACTTCAAGTGAGTGGCATAGACAAAATTTGGAGGTTAAAAAAATTCCCTAATTAAAATCAAAGGAGACTTCAGAGAAGAAACTGTTTGTGAATGAAAGATAGGACTTTGATGAAATGGTAAAAGTGGGGAGAATACTCTAGGCAACGGAGGCAGCATAATTATAATTGTACAAGAAAAAAAAAACCCTGATTAAAATATTCAAGCCAAGGATTCATTGAGGGGGGAGGGTAGTAAGAAGTTAGATTAGAAAATTAAGGCCTTGGACTCTTAGAGTTATTAAGGAAGAGTTGAAGGTTTCTTCAAGTGTGATGAGTTCAGAAGGATTTTTGTTTGTTTGTTTGTTTTGTTTATTGTTTTTGTTTTTTTTGTGGGACCCTTGCCAGCAGCCAGGGAACGAACCGGCGCTGCAGAGGCTGTGGGCAGCTTCGCAACCCAGTGCTCAACCGCTGTGCCACCAGGGGAGGCCCCAGAAGGGTGTTTTCAGAAGATCCAAATAGAGCCACTGTAGAAGATTAAAATTGGAAATTCAAACCATGAAACTAATACACAATGCATGCCATTTTAATGACGCTTATTCTTGAGCCATATAAGAAACTAAGCTAGTTAAGCTTGAGTTTCTCATACTAGCTTAGCAAGTTTATTATTATCAAGTGAATTTTCTACGTTTTTATAAAGATTTATTAATTTATTTATAGAAGAACTGGGTACAGGCCAGATGCGCAGGAGGATGAGAGGATTCACCAGAGACAGAGCAGGGAACAGAACAGGCAGACTGACGAAATTCACTGCTGAGGGGAGCAGTGGGCATGACAGGAGAGGTCTGCCACACCATGTGGGACCCCCACTGGCCAGCTGGGATCAAACCTGCGCTGCAGAGGCTGCAGAGAGCTTCACAGCGCTGTGCTCAACTGCCTGCGCCACCAGGGGAGGCCCACATTTTTTCCTCATATACAGTTCAGGCACAAAACACAATAATCTATAGGAGTTATATTGGTTTTTCCTAAGAACAATTCATGCCAGATTAACGTTCTCCATTGTTTGATAATGTTTCTAGAGAAACAGATCAAAGAAATATTCTTGAAACCAATATCTGAATTTCAGCAAACCATTTTCAAAGTAGAGTATAATTTTTAAAATACATTAAAAAGAATATTAGGGCAGTAAATAATATTGTTAGTATGGTTGACAGGATGAGGGAAATTAGATTAATAATATATGTAAAAAATATTTACGGACTTATTTGCCTATAAATTTCTAGGAGCCACTATTGTGATATTACTGATAAAGAAATTGTTGGATATTGACACAGTGAAGGATGTCTAAAGAAGAGTGAGTAATCAGACCTTGAAGGAAGCTAAAAACATGTCTTACAGTAAATGATTGAAGGAAGTTGAAGTGTTTGTCCTTGAAGAGAAGAGTCTTCAAATATTTGAAGTGCTTCCATACAGAAGAGAAAAAAAAAATTGCAATCAAGGCCAAAAAAAACAAATAGATAAGATAAAAAAGAAAGGAAGGAACTAGGTGTGAGAAGAGCTAGAAGGATCTGTGTACAGTGATCCTAAGGCATTGAGTTTGAGTTACTAGAAGAAGGATGATCATCATTTTAGGAACAAAGTCTGGAAGATATCCAATTTGTTTGGAATGTTTACAGGTTCATTTTGAGTCATAAAAGTCTGAAATGCCAACAAAACTTCCAAGTAAAAATAAATGTCTGTATTTAACAAAATCAGCAGAAATTTTAAAAACTATATTCCAGGAATCCTGCTTTTATCTCAGTGATTAAAAATCAAAACATTTGACCCTTAGGGCGAAGAAGGAGTCTCCCATTTCTGTGGACTGAATAAGAATAAATTGTATATTTGCATTTGTAAGCTTCAAATAATATTAAATTCATGCACTATTGAACTGAATCTAATATTAGGTTAGAAATTCTGATCACTTGACTTCAAAGCCACATCTCTTTTGGGCAGGGATCTTGCATGAAGTCATACCCAGACTCCCCTGAGAGCACACCACCTCCTACACCGACAGCTCCAACATCTGGATTACAGCATCCAGGGAAAATCATATCAGCATCCCTCGGGAATGGGAGTACTGGACAAGACTCAGCTAAAACCAAGCAGAGGAAAAGGAAAAAGGTTAGTAGGCTGTATATATTTCTGGTGTGGAATGAAGATGATCTTTATGAGTTCTTCTCAGATATGGAAAATGTGCTGTTTTTTTTCATAATCCAAATTTTTAGAAGCAGCCAATTTACACTTAATTATACTTAATGACTTCTCAACTTTTAATTTTAATTTATTTTTTAATTTAATTTTAAATTATTTTTTTAAATATTTATTTATTTATTCATATAAGAACTAGGGTACAGGCCAGAGGTGTGGGGGTGAGATGATTCACCAGAGACAGAGTGGGGAACAGAACAGGCAGATTGACTGAAATACACTGCTGAGGGGAACAGCGGGCGAGTCGGGAGAGGTCTGCTGCACCATGTGGGTAGTTCCCTGTCTGGGGATTGACCTCTGCAGTGGCTGCGGATAGCTTCATAGGTTGTGTCTTAGATCCTGCACCACCAGGGAGGCCCTTCTCAACTTTTTAACCAGTTTACTTCTGAATAAAATAATACATTGATTTTACTACAATACATAAATAATACATTGATACATTTACTATAAAAGTTTTCAAGCATATAAGGAAGTGAAGCGTGAACATCGTATACTGAGCATCCAGATTCTACACCTAAGATTTCACTATATTTATTATATTGACATTTACTATAGCTGTACATCTAATTGTTCCTCCATCTATTGGTTCATTATTTTTGACACATTGTGAAGTAAATGACAGATATATGTACATTTTGTGACAAAACCATTTGTTATGTATAGTTTTATAGTTTATTGTTCTTTTGCAGGTAAAATGTATTCTTAAGTATATTTGTTGAATTTTAACAATGTATGTAATCTGTTTTTCTCCCTAAAACCTGCTTGTTGAACTACAACAGAAAAAATAGGAAACTTAACCCACAGCCTTTCATTTCTTCTATAGACACTCCCCCTTCCAGTAGCCACCTGATTTTAATTGGTGTCTATTGATTTCAGGATTGTTTTTTTTAATAATTTGTCCAGAGTTTGATTTTTAGCTACAGGTTAGTACAGAGGAACCATTTGCCATTATAAATAGTAAAACCATGCTAAGATATAATTTTGTAATTGATAGCAAACAAATTTAAATTTCAGCCTTGTTTTTGGTTTCCACTTTGATTTACAAGGTGACTGAATTCACTGCTTACTCATTAGGGGAAAATCTGAACTATAAGGAACTTCTGATTATAAAGTTGTTTTAAAGAATTTCAGTATGGTGCTCTCCAGTTCATTCAGTAACTAGATTAGAACAACAAAATGTTATTTGAAAGACCTTTTCAGGGCCTCCCCAGTGGTGCAGGCAGTTGAGTGCAGCACTGTGAAGCTGTCCGCAGCCTCTGCAGTGCCGGTTTGATCCCTGCCATCCTTGGAGCCACCCACATGGCGAGCAGACCTCTCCTGTCCACCCGCTGCTCCCCTCAGCAGTGTATTTCATCAGTCTGCCTGTTCTGTTCCCGGCTCTGTCTCTGGTGAATTCTCTTACACTCCCACACATCTGGCCTGTACCCTGGTTCTTATATAAATAAAATAAATCTTAAAAAAAAAAAATAGACCTTTTTAGTGGACCTGCTATACAAATTATATAAGAAGGAGTTTTAATTAACCTGGTAATTGTGTATACCTATAATAAGTGTTCATAAGTTTGGAAATTCTTGAAACTTTTTGCTCTTGTATATTAAACATTTCTCTCCATATTTTTGAAGTTATTAAACTAGAGTTATTTTGTAACAGAGCCTTCTTGAATAAAGTGCTAGCCTGATCCACATCTAAATTTTCCTAAATTCAAATTTTGTGGAATCAGAATTAATAGTGTCCCACTACAAAGGTTTTAATTATTTCTCTACATAGTCATCAGCATCTTTCTATAGTCCAGGTCTTGCTGTATTTTTTAATTTATATACTTTTACATCATTATTCATTTTTGCACAATGTTTGATTTCTCCTCAGTTGTAGTCCCCATAAAATTACCACCATCAAGATACCCATGAGCCATCACCATAGACTCTTGTGATCTTCCCTCCCATTTTGATCCTTTTCCCTCCCCCTTCACTGATGAATGTCTCCAATTTATAGTTTGACTGATAGTTTTGTCTTTTTTTTTCTGATCCCTTGTATGTATTCCCTATGTTTCTCCTATAAGTAAAACCATCACCTGATACTTTCTTTTTCCTTCTGACTTATTTCATGAGCATAATCCCTTCAGCTCCATTCATGTTACTGTGAGTGTCATAAGTTTATCTTTCTTGATTGTTGAGTAGTATTCCATAGTATGTATATACCACATCTTCTTGATCCAGTCATCTGTTTGGGGGCATTTAGGTATTTTTGTTTGTACTCACTGTAAACTTTAGGAATGGTGATATTATGATACAATTCATTCTACATAGAATAATCCCATTATATACTAGCTATATGTACCAGAAGTGAAGAAGCTTCATGTGTAACCATATTTTGAAATGATCATTATAATTTTGGGTGCATCCCTTGTCTTCACTCTCTGCTCTTTTTTTTAAAGATTTATTTTTATTTTACTTATACATACAAGAACTAGAATATAGGCCAGAGGTGCAGGGGGGTGAGGGGATTCACCAGAAATAGAGTGGGGAGCAGAATAGTCCATCTACTGAAATATGCTGCTGAGGGGAGCAGCGGGCAGGACGGGAGAGGTCTGCTGCACTATGTGGGTTAACTCTCTGCCCAGTGATGGAACTGAGGCCACAGTGGCTGGCAATAGCTTGAAAATGGTGCTGAGACTTTAACACCTGTGCCACCAGGGAGGCCCCATCTCTGTGGCACAAGGAGCTAAGCACAGCACTGTGAAGCTATCCATAGCCTCTTTTTTTTTTTAAATACTTTATTTTTTTTTAAAGATTTATTTATTTATGTATACAAGCACTGGGTACAGTCAGAAGCATGGTAGGGTGAGAGAATTAACTAGAGCCAGAACAGGGAGCAGAACAGGCAGACTGACGAAATACACTGCTGAGGGGAGCAGCTGGCACGGCAGGAGAGGTCGGCGCGCCATGTGGGACCCTTGCCCGGCGGCCGGGGATCGAACCGGTGCTGCAGAGGCTGCAGGCAGCTTCGCAGCCCAGCTCTCAACCGCTGTGCCACCGGGGAGGCCCTATCCATAGCCTCTGCAGCACGAGTTTGATCCCCCGTCTGGCCAGAGAGCTACCCACATGGCTCAACAGACCTCACCTGTCTCGCCCTCTGCTCCCCTCAGCAGTGTATTTCAATCAGTCTGCCTGTTCTGTTCCCCAGTCTAACTGGTGAATCCTCTCACCTCCCATACCTCTGGCCTGCACCCCAGTTCTTACATGCATAAATAAATAAATCTTTTAAAAAATGAGGGAGAAGTTAGGAAAGTTTAGAACGGATGATATCTTGCATTTCTTCTAAATTTAATCATGTCTTAACCCTTGAATCCAGTAATTATCTCTTACTTTCTTTTGAATTCCTTTTCTAGTTTTAATTTCCTTTGTTAAAGAATAGCTTTTTCTAGTTACAGAAAACTACACCTTTAACAATTACCATAGCAATTAAACTTGAAGTGAGAAAATTCAATATAGTACCTGCTATAACCTTTTGCCAAGGAATGGTCCATCTTCATCTGAAAAGAAGTCCTCTGTAAGAGTGAAACTATGGGAAAACTATATATACAAAATGGTGAGAAAGAGAATACTTGTCTGGCTAGTCAAACTATGTATCAGTCTTTGAGGACAGTGAGTAACAAGTATTAGTGATAGCAATACAGCACCCCCCCACCCCGCCCAGCCCCCCCCACTCTGAAGGGGATATGTTCCAAAACTCCCAGTGGATGCTTGAAACCAAGATTAGAACTGAACTATATGTACTGTGTTTTTCATATATCACACCAATGATAAAGTTTAATTCATAAATGTGAAACATAAGAGATTAACAACAGCTAGTAGTAAATAGAACAGTTAGAGCAATATACGGTAATAAAGGCTATGTGAATATGGTTCCTCTCCATATAGCTCTCCCTCAAGATAACTTATTGTGCATAATATTTTCTGACCACAGTTGACCACAGGTAACTAATACTGTATAAACAAAACCACAGATAAGGGGAGACTACTGTACTAACCTGTCATTTGCTGTTATATGAAGTATGTTTTACCCTCTGTAAGACTTAATATTTCAACTTTAACAAAAGATCTAGTCCACCGTTATGCATGTGGAAGGAATAAGAAGCAATTATCTGAGATTTCAGGTCCTTCTTAAACATTGGAAATTATTGTAGTAAGAAAAAAGAAAAAACTAAGAAAGGATAGGACACAATTACCCTGCCAATAATTTAAGTTGGCAAGAAAAGAGTCTGGACAGAAAAAAACATTTGTAAAAGGTCCGGGGTTGACAAAAGATTCAGTATCACTTCCTTGAAACCACAGTTGTGTGCTCAAAGTGCTGAGAGATTTTGCTCAGTGTAGGCTGGTAAGGACAAGCAGAGGGACAATACTCCAATCCAGGAAATTGTAGGACTCCTTGTGATAATATAGTTCCCATTACCTAGCATCAGTATCTGGATGAAGAAACATAGAGACAAAATTCCAAAATATTGTTGGAATGAGAATGCAACCAAGAAGAGGAACTTTACCAAGCCACTTGTACTTAGGAAATGAAGATTTAGTCTCCACAGAGATTTCTGCAAACACTTTGGACAACAGGACTCAGCTTTAGCTTTTCAAAATTAAATATTATCCTAAAACGTGGGTACAATCAGAAAAAATGAATTGTTACATAACTCTAACAGTCCTTTTTGTGTTTACAGCAGATATATTTTTTTAAAGATTTATTTATCCATACAAGAATTGGAATACAGGTCAGAGATGCAGGGGGTGAGAAAATTCACCACAGACAGAGTGGGGAACAGAACAGTCAGACTGACTGAAACACACTGCTGAGGGGAGCAGCGGGCGAGACAGGAGAGGTCTGCTGCACCATATGGGCAGCTCCTGACTGACGGGGGATCGATCTTCTGCTGCAGAGGCTGCGGATAGCTGCTCAACCCCTTGTGCCACCAGAGAGGCGCTACAGCAGATATTTTTTTTAATACCAATAACAAATATATAGGCATTATGATAATTCTGAAACAGTTTCAAAATTTAATGCAAAAATGCTAGAATCACTGCTAAATTTAAAAATTCTAAACTTGGTATGAATTTTGAATTTGAACAAATTGTAACTAGTTTGGTGAAGGACTGCTAGTTAACAGAAGAGTTTGGTAGATGTGTGAAGATTATTTGTTGAGGTAGAAACAACAAGGAGATAGAATATTTAGATTTAAAGATTCCCTTCCAAAGAATTCAATGACCAAGTCAAAAAAGTACAGAAGAGCACATGGTAACTTCATAATAATGTTTGCAAGTGTTCGATTATAGCAGATGAAACTGAAATTGCTAAAATGGAAAAATCTTAAGTTAAACCTCATCTATTTGACAGATAGCATGATTCAACCAGTCTGGCTGGCTTGTCTAACGTGTGCTCCACTTCAGTGTTCCCAAATTATTGGCACACCATTTGATTGGCATGTTAGAAGTTCTGAGGATCTCTCCAGGATGTTCTACACCAAAACCAAGTTTAATCGGGTGAAATAAAGGAAGAGTACATGTGGGGAAAAAATGAAAAAATAAATTTAGTTTGCAGGGAGAAAGGTGATATCCCAGAGGAACACACAGAAAGGACTTCCTTTCCCACTTAGTATGCAGGACACTACCCCTCTTGATGTTTCTCTTTTGTATTTCCACTGGAAAGCTTACTTTAGATTCCAAGTTAGGTAAATATTTGCATTCATTTCCACAAAAGAACAGAATGCCTCAACTTACTTCACAAGCATCTGTTATACCTAGTGGGTTACTGAATCTGTGTATGTCATACTCATATTTAGTGCTGAATGGCCTCACGGAAAATCATTTACCTTTACTGGGTACCTGATATTTGCATTTGTATCCTGACATATTCTGACTGACACAAAGGATTTGAAATGAGAATCCAGAAAGCATTCAAAATAAAAAAACAAAACCCTGTGTACTTTTAAATCAGTGCCAAAGTAAGGGGTTAAAATAACTTAATCCATGTTATTGTGGGCATAGCAGATATGTTATTTAGGATATTGTTGGAATGATTGAGAAAGATACCCTAGGGTAAATTCTTATTTGGCTTATTTCAAATCTTGTTAAAATAATAAAAATAATCAAGATTTATTTTGTTTTGTATTTCGCATCTTATTTCAGATTCAGCTTGGGCAATAAGCATATACTAGTGTTTGATTGGAAATTTTTAATTATTTTGCTAGTTTATACTAGGAAAAATCATGGACATGGTACAAAAAAGTACAAAAAGATACACAGTGGAAACCATCCCTTCCAGCCCCTGTCCTCCAACCACCCATTCATTCTCCAGGAAATAAACATTGTTTTGGTATACCCTTACAGAAATGCCCTGTGCTTTGATGAATATATAAAGTTCACCCTTTCTTTTTTAAGTGGTAACAGAATGCCACCCAACTGGACACCTTTCAGGTTTTTCACTTAATATATCTTAGAGACAGCTTTGTAACTGTGTATGGCTCTGAGTGTAGCCTCCTTGGATGAGGCATGTGTGTGAAGCTGCCTCACTCTTTTTGGCATTTGCTGTGGTTTCTGTTTTGAGTGGTTGTGTCATAATTTATTTCAATGTTCCCACATCTGTCTTTGAGGTAAAATTGCTGGGACAAAGACATTTGTGCTTTTTCGTTTTGATAAGGTTTTACCAAATTGTTATCCATAGAGGTTGTACTAGTTATACCCCTACAATGAATTTTGAGAGTGGTAATTGTAGTAATTATCAGAAAAACTTATAATGGTAATGTGTGACAATGAATGACTTGTAGGCTGTGGTTATAGTAATAAGAAGGCTACTGTTTCTTACTCTTGATTCTTTAATGTTGATGGCGTGGCATCTGGTATCTACCATACTTTAAAGCAATTTATCATTTCAAGAACATGGAGGTTCCATTTTTAACTCTTCACTTAAATAACAACCTAGGTGTTTTTTTTTGTTTTTTTTTTTAATATTAAATTTTATTTTTATATTCCCCCATACAATTGCAAACACCCCATTCTGACCCCAATCCTTCCCCTCCCGCCCCCCACCCCCCAAAAAGTGTCTCTGGTTCATAGTTTTTTGTTGATTTTGATTTTCACTTTCTTATATTCATTTTCCTGGTCCCTTATTTAAGTTTTCTAGATTCCTGCTATGAGTGAGACCATCCGGTATTTTTCTTTTTCTTTTTGGCTTATTTCGCTGAGCATGATCCCTTCCAGTGCCATCCATGTTGCTGCAAATTGCATGTGTTTATCTTTTTTGAATGCTGAGTAATATTCCATGGTATATATGTACCACATCTTCTTGATCCAGTCATCTATTTTTGGGCATTTGGGCTGTTTCCAAAGCTTAGCTATTGTAAACAGTGCTGCTATAAACATAGGAGTGCAGGTGCTCTTTGGAATTGATGTTTCTGTGTCCTTTGGGTAAATACCTAGGAGTGGAATTGCTGGATCATATGGAAGCTCTATGTTTAGTAGGTCCAGAAATCTCCACACAGCTCTCCATAGTGGTTGGACCAGTTTGCACTCCCACCAACAGTGCAGGAGAGTTCCTTTTTCTCCACATCCTCGCCAACATTTGTTGTTGCTAGTTTTTTTAATATGTGCCATTCTCACTGGTGTGAGATGGTATCTCATGGTAGTTTTGATTTGCATTTCCCTGATTACAAGTGATGTTGAACATTTTTTCATATGTCTGTTGGCCATTTGCATTTCCTCTTCAGAGAAGTTTCTTTTTAGCTCTTCTGCCCATTTTTTGACTGGATTATTTTCTTTGTTGTTGCTGAGTCTCATCAGCTCTTTGCAGATTTTTGTGATCAGTCCTTTATCATTAGTGTTGGGTGCAAAAATGTTCTCCCAGTTGGTGGGGTTTCTCTTTGTTTTTGTTATTGTCTCTTTTGCTGTGCAGAAGCTCTTTAATTTGATGTAGTCCCAGCTGTTTATCTTTCTCTTCACTATCACTGCTTTGGGTGATGTGTCTGTAAAGATGTCTTTGATGTGCAAATCCCGTAGTGTTTCGCCTATATTTCCTTCTATGTATTTTATGGTTTCAGGTCTTATGTCTAGTTCTTTAATCCATTTTGAGTTGACAACCTAGGTGTTTTTAATAGCTAACACCTCAGGCATTGTTCTAAGTGGTTCACATGTATCAACTCACTCAATTTTCATGACAATACTATAAAGCAATTGTAATTATTATCCCAGTTTTACAGATGAGGAAATTGAGGTACATAGATGTTAATTGACTTGATACTGCTGGTAACTGATAAGGATGGAATCTTGACCCAGTTTTTAGGGATCCAGATCCTGCAACTAAGTCGCAAGACTGAAAAGCTCCTACTGAACATTTTGATTTTTTAAATCATCTTGAACGTACATTTGTCATTTCTAGAGTTGGTATTCATACTCTTGTTACAAATAATCTTTGTCTTTCTTATGTCTTTGTTCTTTCAATCTGTCCTTTAGAAGATGAAGCAGATTAAATTAGAAAGGTTTATTTTTTTGACCCAAGTATCCCTAGAAAATTAAGAACCAAGTTGAAATTATCTTTTATGACAGCCACCAGTATTATAAATAAACATACAACAATTTCATATTTTTTGACTTTAAAATTGATGATCCTCTAGTTTTTTCACAAGTATACCCAAGGAGCTCTCAAAAAACATTTATATTAATAAATATTGTTAATTTTTTTTTTCAAATAGCTTCCTGTGGCTCTTTCAGCAAGCCCCTATGCACATTTCATCTGCACGCAAGTGGCTGTATTCTCCAATACCTTGTCATGCAGGCCTAGGTGAAATATTGTGGACATAAAAACTACATTTGGTAGATCTGCTAGGAAGGGGTCATGTAAAAGTCATCTTTGATTTGTTGATGGAATTTTTTTTAGATGTAGTATATGGCAGCAGTGATGTGCATCCTAAGGGGAAAAAAGTCCCATTTTTATAAGTTTATTTTCATATTTTATACACTGTAGTTCTGTTGTGTGTTTTTGATTTAGTAACAATTTATGTGTTTTTCTGTCGCAGAGCACTGCGGCCTGTGGTGTTGAGGCTCACAGCGATGCCATCCAGCCCTGCCACATCAGAGAGGCCGTCCGACGCTACAGCCACAAGATTGGCTCCCTTTCCCCATTCACAGTACGTAATAACAGAGTTATAAAAAGTTATATTTATAATCTAAAAGAATTTTGATTTTCAAGTGGTCAAATGAAGAAGCAATGGAATTGTTGAAAGCAATTTGTGGTGACTGTAATTTTCTTGTATAAAAGTGGCATAATCCTCTTGGGAAATAAAAGTTAGTCATTTTTGACTTTTTGGAAGGACAAATTTTTTCTACAAAAATATTATTTTCTTTCAATTACAAATTATACTTTTTTGTTTGGTTTTATATTTTCTAATTTTCAAAGCTTAGGTTTATAAAACTCTTTTGTCAAATTATATGTATCCAAATATTGCTAGAAGCACTTTATATTTTAAAATTGGTTAGATTGGCAATACCACTTCTATCAGATGTCCTACTCCTAAACATACTTTGAGTTGGAAGAAGAAGAAATGATTTCTTTACTGGCTTTGAAGTAAACTGAAATGCAGACAGTGTTTTACATTTTCAAATGGTTTTAAAGCTTATAATCAAGGTTTTTGTTGTTTTTTTTTTTAATGGAGAATTAAAGACTTTTTATTTCAACAGCCCAAAGAAACGCTGTGTATGTATGTCAACTGAAAGCTCATCTTGTGGCTTTTTAATTCATATTAATAGAATTCTGTAAGTCTTTATTGTTTATAAGGAGTGGTTTCATACTGAGAAAATGAGATTTGATTGATAGTACTGAGAAATAGTAGAATTTGCCATTTTTTTAAAATATTCATTTCTCCTTTAACATATTAAATCAGAATATATATGTTTAACATTATACATATATATACACATATAAATAGGACATGTTTTTTCCTAAGAATGGATTTTACTGCTATCTGTTGATAGAAGTAGTAACATCTTCTAAATTATATCATCATTTTTCCTTGTGTTTAGTTAAAGGTAAAGCTTGCCTGCTTTCTTTGTTCTTGTTAGTATTGTTAATGGTATGGATTCTCAGTGTGACAGCAAGAATATGTCAGAGCTTTTTTCCAGAAGCTCTTTACAATGGTGCAGTTATTTTCATTGTTGTTTAATTATTATAATGTCATAAATTATAAGAACATAATTTAATACTGCTGATAAAGCAATATATGTATATGTTTTTAGTTGAAAGTTTTTAGATTACTATATTAACATCTGAAAAAAGGGAATAAAATAAAGTATCTCTTGTAATATTTTTTTGACCTGGATATTTAAAAATATTAAGCAATAATCCAAAAAGAAGTTGAGATTAAAAAAAAAAAAAATGAAAGGATGGAGAGAATTTAAAAACCAAATAAAATTGAAAGAACCAAACTTATAACAAAGGATTTAAAATATCAAATCCATAGATAAGAACCAAGAATGACAAGTAGGTTGAGGCAATGGAGTAGAGCAAAAAGAAAAGCCAGCTGGGTTGAAAATAATATAGAAATAATTAAAGGGCAGCAAAGGGAAACAGGATTTTTGATAAATAACCTAAGGTTATAACTAAAATAAGTAAAATTACATCAAGGAAAATGTATCAAATACAAGAGGAAAATCTAATTATGCAATCTGTACTGTTTCTTCAAAAGAAAGTAGTGGTAGTGATGGCCGCAATGTTGTTCGTAAAGTTTTTTTTTTTTTATTTTTAGATAGACTAAACAGGTTGCTTGAGAACCATCATGGTTGATGACACCTTTTATATGTGTTGTATATGTATCTGTATATATAGATATTTGTTCATTCCCCTATGTTTAACCAGGTATTCTGTTCATGCTTTCTTGTTTTTATTATCTAAGATTTTAGTATATAATTAAAAGTGTACTTGAAATTGCATTCAGATATAGCTTAAGCTAATTTTTATCTAATGAAAATATAGTCAATATGTGGTTTGAAACTAATGAAGCAATTTTAAAATGCTTAATTTAAATAGATCTGGAAAATAGAATAAACCAAGACCTAGAAGGTTCACTTAACCACTACCACAGCATACAGGCAAAATCAACAGCAAATGGTGAAGAATTCCACAGAGGGACATTTGAGCTTGTAATCACTCCTCAGAATGGAACCATCTTGAAAGGTCTATTCTGTGACCTAGAGCTATAAGAATTTACCCAACCTACAGGACTGAGTATGCTTACTCCACTTTATATCAGGAGTAATGTAATCAAGGAGAGACAGTTTCATGTTATATATTACAATACATAAATCTGCCTTTTAAAGTTAAAAATTCTCCTTAAAGTGGAATAGATTGCAGGCTTTGTAAAACTAACAGTGTGGCCACCCTGCACTGACTCTCACATACCTTTTAAATGCTCAAATGTTGGGGGGTTCTGATGTTCATTTCCCTCAGGCCTACTCTGTGAGATGATACTTTGTGTTACACCAGGGATACATTGCTACCTATGCTGTAACTCCTAAGAAGAAAGGACACAGGTAGCTTCCTCACTGGTGACCATAGATGGAGACCTGATTTTTCTCCCAAGTAAAATATTTTGTAAAACTAAAATGCCATGAAAAATAGTTTATATTTAAGAAACAGAGATTTTATCTTTGCCACATGTCTTTCTCAAGTGCTTGTCTGGTGTATGAAAATATATATATATAATTTAGTATATTCACACTTGATTCCTATATAGCCAATTCCTAATGAGTTGAAGTTGGAGAATTATAGTAACAACAATAAGTCAACAGGTTATATGGAAACTTAATTTTAACGTAAGTCAATAAAAGTTTGCTTTTAGTGAAGTACTGAATGGCTTCTGAAATAATTTTATACAAAATCACAGCATTGTCAATCTCAGGAATAGTATTCATTTTTTTAAGAATTATGCGTGATTTTCACCTTGAGAATTCATTGAAATAATAGAGAAAAGGAAAGATTAAAGCCTCATTAAGTGGAGGGACGAATACAATGCTTTGCACTATAGTGGTTGCTGGAGTAGAAAGGGGAGGATAGCAAATCTTCAGTCACTTCCCACTCATGAGTGCCTTGGAGGTACCTTTTATAAACCATCCATTCTATTCAACCAATCATAACAGTACTGACTTTGCCATGTCACAATAACAAACATGCCAAACATGTTACAACATGCTAAAATACAACAAATGTTTGTGTTTTAGAAGTATAGGATCTCCCCTGTCAGGTGTTGTCACCACACCACGCTTGCTCCCAAACCACCCACAGGCCATCCCCATAGTCCATTGTGTTCCCTCCCAGTTGTGTTCTTGCCTCTCCCTACCATGTTGGTTTTGATTGGTGAGTCCTTTCTTTTCTGTGTTCTCATGTATTCTTTCTTTTTTTTTTTAAGATTTATTTATTTATTTATATAAGCACTGGGTACAGTCAGAAGCACGGGAGGGTAAGAGAATTCACCGAGTCAGAGCTGGGAGCAGAGCAGGCAGACAGACAGAGGACACTGCTGAGAGGAGCAGCGGGCGCAGCAGGAGGGGGTCTGCCTGCCATATGGGACCCTCGCCGGCAGCCAGGGATCGAACTGGTGCTGCAGAGGCTTTGCAGCCCAGGCTTCAACCACTGCGCCACCGGGGAGGCCCTGTTCTCATGTATTCTTAACCCTGTGCAGAAGATTAGAGAAAAATTCCATATCTACAAGATTTAAGTAATTTTCCTGAGGTTAAACTATTAGTCAATGATTAAATGATAGAACCAAGGCTACAAATTCAGGCTTACCTACTCCCAACTCAAAAATCTGTCTCCAAAAATACAGACTTTTGCAACTGAATCCCTATATACCTGATTTATACACATGCCAAACAATATTTAAAGGGACTACATTTACTTTCTTATTGTTTAGTTTTCATAAATAATTCTGAAAATCACATCAGTCTCTGATTGGTAGTGTTTGCTAGCATTTAATGCAACTTAGAAAGTCCTCAATGATTTTGATGCTTGTAATTATATATTGTATTTTTCTTAGTAGGTTTTGTATCATGATTAAAACTGCTGCTGATCCTAGAGCCAGAAGGCCAGAGTTAGATCCCAGTCCTGCCACCTACTAGCTAAATAGCCTTAAGAAAGCTTCTTAACCTCTCTATGGCTCAGTTTTCTCATCTGTAAAATGGGTATAATAGAGCATACCTCATGACAGAATTTAAGAAGTATTATGAATTTGCCATACAATAAGCTCTTAATAAAGTATATCAATAATAGTGGAAGCCATAGTATCTATAGTATATTTTTTGTATTTTATATATTTTTTTTATTTTTTAGGTATAAATACAAGCAAGCTAAACTAAAAACCATTCTGCCTACCTCCAACCACACAGACACACACAAATACAGAGGTCTCACTTATAATCACAGAAGAAACTAAAACGAATAATAATGTGATTTCTTTACAGGCTAATATAATTTATACCTTTAAATTTTAAATGCTATTTAAAGAATGTTGTTCCAGAGAATAAATTTCCATTTTTATGCTCTGAATAAATTATATCTGAAGATCATTAATGTTTGGTCACTGAACAGTGTAAAAATAAGGTCTCAGTAACTGAATATGTGTAGTTACCACTTGATTTTTGCATACTTACTACATTTTGCAAATTAGTTCTTAAACAGAAATGTAAGGAACAAATCACATGACCTCAAATTAAAAACACTTGATCAAATTCAGTTTACATCAGTTTATATTTTTGCATAAATTATTGAAACAAAAATTTTCAGTCCAATGAGCATATCACAGTTGGTGATAACTTTTTAAAATAAATTACTAGTAGCCAATTTTCCTCACTTTTTAAAATTTTTTCATTTTACTCATTATAAAAATTGTTAGTATGTTAAAAAAACTAAAAAGCACAGAAAAGTAAAGGATAAAATAAAACTTACATTAGGAAAGGCATCATGGGCACTTCCATAAAAATGTAGCAAAACCTTTAAATGAAAAACCCTATCAGGCCTCCCTGGTAGTGCAGGTGGTCGAGCGCTGCACTGTGAAGCAATCCGCAGCCTCTGCAGGGTGGGTTCAATCCCTGTGGGCCAGGGAGATGTCCACATGGCACAGCAGACCTCTCCTGTCTC